AGAGAATGCTGGGTTGCATGTGTAGCACTTACCTAGTGTGTTTGAGAGCCTTGGTTTGATCTCTAGTTGCACAAAAAAGGAGAGGGGAGATCTTGCTTTTTAAAAAAATACATATATACTGAAATAGCAGTAAAGACCATTATGTCTACAACTTATACACAAAAATCTAAGAGGAAAACTACATGTGTACATGGGTGTGTGTGTGCTTGTGAATAACATAATCATGACAAAAGGTAAAAGGTTAATGTGTGGGTAATCTTAGTGAAGAGTATATTGGAGCTGGGTGTAGTTCCACACAATGTAATCGTAGCTACTCAGGAGACTGAGGCAGGACGTTTGTAAGTTTGAGGCCAGCCTGGACAATTTAGCCAGATCTTGCCTCAAAGTAAAATTTTTAAAAAGGACTGGGATGTCACACAGTGGTAGAGTACTTGCTTAGTATCTATGAGGCCCTAGGTTCAATCTCCAGCACCACACACAAAAAGAGTTTACTGGCGAGCTAAGCGCGGTGGTAAAAACCTGTACTTCTAGGACTTCACAGGCTAGAATCCATAGGCCAATTCAGGGAAAATGTTAGCATTAAAATAATGATTTTGAGAATGTCCTGGACAACTTAGCAAAATCCTGTCTCAAAAACATAAAACAAAAAAACGGGAAGAAGATATGAAAAGGTGCTAGTCTCACTAGTAACAATGCAAATACAATTTAAAGCCACTGCCCAATCTCTTTACATACCCAGGTAATTAAAATGAAAGAAGTAATTAGTTTTTGTGCAGGTGACAATGTGGAGCAACCATGAGAATAAACAGTAACCCCACTGAGAAGTTTTTGTTCCTATCTATTGAAGCTAAATATAGTACACTAAGATCCAGTAATTTCACTGGGTCCAACAAAAATGGGTATACATGTATAAAAATGTTCCTAACAACGCTGGTCTTAAAAGCCACAAAGTGGAAACTTCAAAAGTCCCTCAACATTAGAACAGATTATAATACCGTCATCCCAGGGATTACCAATTAGCAATGGAGAAGAAGGAACTACTGTACATGGGACAGTATGCATAAGAAACCAGTCACACATAAAAAACATAGTTATGGTTACATTTATACATTATATACCAAAAACTGGCAAAAGTAACCTCTGGTGTTAGATGTTCAGATGGTAGTTATTCCTAGAGAAGATGTGAAGGGCAATGACTAAGCTGGGGCATAAAAGAAATTTCTAAGGAGCAGGGATACTGCATGAATTGGGTTGTGGCTACAGGATCTGTTCACCTTGCAATGATTCACCAAACTCAATACCTATGCTTTGTGAAATTCTTTTAATATGATACATATCAACAAAAAACTAAAAACAAAAAGCAACTCTACACCTCAAAACTTGTCTTTTACACTAAGCAACCTGCAGGCTCATTGCTATTTTTCTCTATTCTTTTAATTTTTGCTACAAGATTTTGCAAACACATGTGCATTCCCACATATTAACATTCCCTATCACCAACAGTCCAAAGACATAAACTGACAAAGGAACAGATTAGCTTACTTTTCAATGACAGATGAAAGACACAGATCATTTAGTAAAAGTATTCCAGATATAAAAAAATATTTCTCAAGGTCACATCTAAGTTTCCTACTTGCATCTTTACTTCAAATGGAAAGATTAGTTTCAAATCTTACCTTCAAATTTCAGAGATGGAATGTTCATTTTGCTCATATGTCTAGCTTCTGTGTAGGTGTGTGCTCATGTGTACGTATGTGTGTGTTGCTGGGATCGAACCCAGGGCCTCGTGCATGATAGGCCCAATGTTCTACCACTGAGCTAAGACTCCAGCCCTGTTAACTAAATTTTACAGTGGGACTAACCTCCTCAAAATTCACCATGGCCAGCAACAGTGCTTCATTTTATATTTACAAAAATTCCAATCAGCAGGAGGTACACTGGAATATGCTCTTTCTCCTAAACCCTCAACTAGGTTTAGCCTCAATTTCTAAAATGAGAAAAGTGCAAATCCCCATACCGTCCAACTAAAACAAAAGTATCATGAGAATACTGTACAGTGATGGATACAAACACAAGAATGGGTGAGTATGCACACATGATGTCTAAATAATTAAAAGCCAAATACTTCATTCATCTAGTTAATTATCAGTGCTCTATGAGAGTTACAGGAATTCAAGTTGTAAGAAACATCACGTGCCAGAGAAACAATGAAAAAGAAAATATGACTTAAATCTGAAGGCCTCCCTTCTTCTTGCACTGCTGGAGATCAAACATGATGCTTCATGCATGCCAGGCAAGTATTCTACCACTAAGCTATCTGTTCATTTTCATTATTTCCTTTTTTCTGTTTGTCTCTCCTTACTTCAATTTCTAACCCATGACTTTTTTTTTTAAGTGAAAGTAATTGCTCTAGTCTAGGTAAAATGTTTCCAAATAGCTTTATCTCTTCCGTGACCCTCCCCACCACCTACACATTCACGCACACACATACCACCGCATATACTTAAACAAAGCTGCCAATGCAGGTGGCATGTGCGGCAAGAGGTAGTGTACAGTTTTTCTTTACAATGGAAAAATACTCACTGTTCAAGACCATATTAACAACTCCAGATCCAACTCCCAGAAAATCTGACATGCCTGCTCAGTGCACATTCCATAGTAAATCTTTAAAGACACTGCCTGCCTCTGATGAGAAGGCCACAGAAGGATGGTACTAGTATCTATCTAATGCCAACGTTTAAACTTGTTTTTCCAGTCTCACAAATAACAGGTCACCCAGTCACACAGGGACTCCATTCTAAAGACAGCCCCAGCAACTGAGAAACAAGTTAGGCCAGAAAATGCTGCCCATTTTGCATGAAAGAGTGGCAGCACTGCCACCAAGGAAATACTTCAGGATATTGATTCAGACTAACGGAAGTAGGGCAAAGGTCTATTCCTGTACCACCAGGATAACAACTCACAAGTCATCAGGGGTATAGCAAGGAGAAAATATGGGGGAACCTCCAAGGCCATGGAAGAAGTCTCAGTTCAATTTCAATAACCCTGGAATAGAAAAACAAGCATTTCCTGCTAGATCCTTCTACACATAAAAATAAGCCCCTCATCCGCTGTTCCTCTGAAGTGCTTCTTAAAATAATTAAGGCAAAAGGCTATTGAATGGATCATGTTTCAGGCTAGCTTGATTTCTCCTTATCAGACTAACAGGAACTCCCTGCTAGACCGGGCGTGGTAGCACATGCCTGCAATCTGAACACTTGGGCTGGGGATTTAGCTCAGTGGTTCCAGAGCCTGCCTCGCAAGAGCAAGGACCCGAGTTCGATCCCCAGTACCACAAAAAAAAAAACCCCGAACACTTAAGGAAGCTGAGTCAGTAGGATCACAGTGTTCGAGGCCAGCCTGGACTATATAGCAAGATTCTGTCTTACAAACAAAAACAAAATCATCAAGACAGAAATTCCCTCATGGTTTTCTGCACAAAGTTTCTATTCAAAATATCACAAACCTAAAACAAGCAAAGAATGAGTTTTGGCTGGGGATAGTGGTATGCTCCTGTAACACCACTTCTCTAGGAGACTAAGGCAAGAGGACTGCAAATTTGAGCCCAGCCTGGGCAGCTTAGTGAAATCTTATTTCAAAATATAAAACTAAAAAGGGATGGAGGGTGCTGGGGATTTAGCTCAGTGGCACTGCACCTGCCTTACAAGCACAAGATCCTGAGTTCAATCACTGGTACCAAAAAAAAAAAAAAAAAAAAAAAAAAAAAAAAAAAAAAAAAGGATAGAGGGATGTCCCCAGGACTACAAAAAGAAAAAAAACATTTTATTTGAACTGAGAGAAAGGCTAGAAGAGGACTGCAGGGATCTCTATGCAATGATATAAAAAACTAAACCAACAGAAAAATGACAGGCCATGATCTTTTTCCTTGAAAGGCCCAAACCAACACACGGACAACAGTGAGAACACACCATGGGAAAAGTGGTACAAAGAGAATTCAATCCTGGGGTAGAGAAAAGTCTCTAGGACTAATTAATAAAAATGCTACTACCTGCCCTGGAGATGTAGCCCTGCGGCACAGTGCTTAACAAGTACAAGGTCTTGGATTTGATCTCTAGCAAGGCAAAACAGTTACTGCCACTTACTAAGCACTTGCTGTGCCAGGCCCTGTGAGATCATATATTTTCATAGATTCACTCACTCTATCTTTACCACAGCCCTATGAAGAATATACTGACTCCCGATCCATCCATTTCCAAAGCTTATTATGGTCTAAATAATCAATATTTTATATTAAAAAAAATTAAGCCAGTCTCGGAGTAGTATAAAAACTAATTATGTTCGTATTAAATTAAAATTCACAATTATGGCTGGGTATGATGTTATACACCTGTAATACCAGCACTTGAGAGGCTGAGACAAGAGGATCACTGCAAGTTCGAGGCCAGCCTGAGCTACAGTGAGTTCAAATTCAATCTGAACTGTACAGTGAGACCCTGCCTCAAAAAACAAAAACAAAAACAAAAAAACAAAAAACAAAAAACAAACTTTGCTCACGTACTCTTTTCACAAAATCTTTCTAGGCTAGAAAAATATCCTCTTACTCAAAACTATTTTATACTGGTCTACTGCACCCCCACGGTATTAGACATTTTCTACTGTTTCAGTTGTGTTTGTGCCTCATCTCTATCTTTTACTCCACAAGCTCCCTGAAGGCAGACTCTATTCCAGTTCACATAAGCATAACCCCTCCCACAATGCCAGCACTCAATTTTTTATTTTATACATAAGCCTATTATTTAGTTTCATTCATAAAGACAAACCGAAACACCAATTAAGGCTACCTCATTGTAAGCTCTCTTCAAAGGGCCATGTGTTCCCAGTACCATTCAAGAGTAAATTCTAAAAAACAATCATTTATTAAATGTATTAAATTCAACATCATATTAAAATGTACTCCTCCTAAATTTCTTCACATATTCAAACACTACCATTGTTAATACCTTTGACAATAATGCTGAAGTTCCAGGTTTTACCAATTTTCCTCCTGTAGATGCTGAAGAGCTGTTTTCAGGCTTAATTTTCTCTACTGTTTGTGTTTTACTTGCCCCAGACACCTTAGGCACTGAGCCAACACTCCTGCTTGCTTTCTTCATTCTGGGCTGCCTCTTTATGATGCATTTACAATCAAATCTGTGGAAAGAAATGGGAAAGAACAAAATTGAAATGCTTTTGAAGAATTGTGAATTTTTGAAAATTTTTGTGATAAAAATGTTTGAAAATTAGCTATCACTACAGAACAGTGGGGGCAGGGATATAGCTCAGTGGTGCCGCCACCTACCTCACAAACACAAAGTCCTGAGTTCAATCCCCTGTACCAAAAAAAAGAAAAGAAAATTCTCAGACTTGCTTATCAGAATGTACCCTATTTTCACTGCTTCTTCCTTGACTATTACTAATTTGAAATGATTTTGTGTATTCTGGTTCACTGAGTACAAAAACGCTCTACTAAAAGCAATGCTGTTTTCAGTGCTTCCAATTTTCAATGCTTCCTCCTTGACTGTTACTAATCTGAAATTATTCTGTACATTCTAGTTCACTGAGTAAAAGGAGTGTCCAACCTTTAATAGAACCTAGTGTGATACAACGCACATCATCTTCAGCATTTAATGAATAATCATCATCTTAGCATTTGGGAACAGCCATTCTGCAGGTATCTGGGGTGATCCAAATTATCCAGCAAAGTCCTAATTTCAAATATTTGTTGTGGGACCCCCCCCCAGCAGAGCGAATATCACAGAAATATCAACATTCAGGATCTAAATATATTTTTCCAATATATCTCTTTTATCAAGAAGCAGTACAGAAATTCCTTATCAAAGCACTGGCCCTAAGAGAAAGCACTGACCAGAAAATAAGACCATTCTATGCAACTGCAGACAGCATGGCAGTTCTCCCATCTCAGTGATACATCCTTGATTTCACAGCTAGAAAGACTTGGAATAACACTGGCAACAAACAAAGCTGATGCTAGATAATCCCTTAAACACCCATTTGTTAACTGTGCTAGAAATGCAGCATTTATCATATGTTTGGGAAGACACACGGGATCATTTTGTACAGGATGGTACAATTAACCAAAATCAAAGCCCACTTTGGTTCCCAGATTGAACTCAGGTTCCTGAGCTTGCGAGACAGGTCTGGAACCATTGAGCTAAATCCCAGGCCCTGAAAGCCCATTTTGAAAGTACGGTGGTTTACATAGAATGTTTCTAAGAAATCCATATTGAATACAAGAAGCCCATCGATTTTGTGAAGACATCCACACACTAATAAAAATAGTACAGTAAGTTTGGAAAAGAAAAGGCTCATTCTAACAGCCTTACTCGGTATTTTATGTAGACTGTGCTTGAACACTCCAGGTTTATCTCGCCTTGACAAGACAGTACAATTTGGTGAGAGCAGGGAGACAGGGCAAGGGTGCTCTTCTCTTCCCTCAACACAATAAGGCCTTAGCCTAGGGAACACCAAAACACAGTGAAACTTCAGAGAATCTCTCGAAAATGCTGTACACAGCGAATTCCCTATCTACTCTTAAACCTTTAGCTTTCTACTCTCTTTTTCCATTTATGTAATCTGCCTTTAGTAAGCACTCCTTTATACAAGCTCAGCATTTATTTCCTACACCTTTGCAGGTAATACTGAAAATGATCAAAATAGACTAAAGGAGTTCCCCGTAACAGATAAAGACACAGTCATACTGATCCCTACCAACCAGCAATTTATGATTTTCTCACACATAAATTATACTGATTAGATCAGCTAACTGAAGGTATTATTAAAAAAATCAAATCGAGTTCTAAGAACTTTTCTTCATCTTCCCACTTTTGAGCTTCTGTTGTGCCTTGCAAATGATTCTCCAGAGTTTCTTCTCTCCTCCAAATTCCACACCTGAATTCCTTTCTATTATACCACTTTTCTCTACTTACTCTTCCAGCTCTCGTCAAATTGATTTTGTTTGTGATAAGGTCTCACTGTGTAGTTCAGACTGGCCTCGAACTCCCGGCGATCCTCCTACCTCAGCCTCCCCAGTGTTCGGATTACAGGTGTGTACCACCATACCCAGCCTCAAATTGACACTTTCCAAACCAGAATTATCTAATACAACTTACTGCAATGATGACCATGTTCTATATCTCTAAATGTACCAACAGGGAGGTCACCAGGAGCCTCCTAGTGGATGGCTACATAGCACTTAATATGGCTAATGTGACTGAGGAATTGAATTTGTTTAATTTAAATTTAAAGCTGCTGCCAGGAGTGGTGGTGTTTTCCTGTAATCCTAGCACTCAGGAGGCTAAGGCAGAAGGATCACTTCAAGTTTGAGGCCAGCTGGGGCTACGTAGTGAGTTCAAGGCCAACCTGGACTACACAGCAAGACCCTGTCTCACAACAAACAATAATTATGATAATAATTATAATAAATTTAAACTTAAGTTGTGCACAATTGATAGCTTCCATACTAGACAACTTAATAGGCTTCTTTTCTTGATGCTGTCCCAAAATTGAAATTAAATTAACTACCACTTTAAACCCACCAGAATAGCTATAATCAAAAAGATAAATGCTAACTACTTTTAGAAAAAAAAAAAATAGAGCACCTAGACTTCTCATACACTGCTGGTGGAGATGTAGAATGGCCTAGCTGCTTTGGAAAATATTATGGTAGCTTCTGCAATGGTTAAACAGAGTTACCATACCATCTCAGCCAACTCCACTTTAAGGTACTTACTAAAAAGAAATAAAGATATTTGTCTACTCCATTTTGGGGGGGTACTGAGGATCAAACTCAGGACCTTGCACTTGCAAGGCAGGTGTGGTACCACTGAACTAAATCCCTGACCCTGTCTACTCAAAAATATGTCACTTAAAAAAAAATGTTGGCCGGGCGTGGTGGCGCATGCTTATAATCCCAGAACTCGGGAGGCTGAGGCAGGAAGATCTCTGTGAGTTTGAGACCAGACTGAGCTACACAGTGAGTTCCAGGTCAGTCTCAACTACATAGTGAAACCCTGTCTCAAAAAAAAAAAAAAGTCACTCTTCCACAAAAAGGTTAACCTCAACCCTCCAAGTAGTTGGTATTACTGGCATTCACCACCATGTTTGGCCAAATTTGCCAATTTAAAACACTACTTTTCCAGACTTGGCAGCAAGGCTCTTCATTTACATCTGCTTTTTTAATATAAACAAAGTCAGTGTTTTTTCTAGAATCCAAGTGGAGTTTATTTGACAAAGAATTCAGTAAGGCTGCAGGAACAGCAAACCCAAAAGTCAAAGGAGAAAGACACAGCTCTACCTAATTTATAATTAGGGCGGGTCAGTAAATAAATATTAAAGTAGTTAAACTTGAAAGAATTCTCTTTCTAGGGCGCATCTTTTTTTTTTTTTTTATATTGGGGATCAAACTCCGGACCTTGCGCTTACGGCGGAACCACGGAGCTAAATCCCTGGCCCCTAGGGCCCATATTTTTTAAAGTCACATCCTGTTGTCCAGCAGATAGACCTGCTCTGTCTTGACCCAGCAAGCAATACAGTAGAAGTGAAAAGCATGCTTAAAGAATTCCCGTGCGATGGTACATACTTTGAAAGTAGTAGATGCCAGTTAGCCTCACATTCTATGCAATGATTCATAATGTGGTTCCTACATATGACACAGTTTCAACCACAATATGTCACAATATATGGGGTACCACTTTTATTATTATTATTGTCATTATCATTAGTTGTTATTTATTTTCTTTCAGTAGGGTCTCACTACATAGTTCAGGCGGGCCCTGAATTTACTATGTAGCCCCAAATGACCTCAAACTTGTGGCAATCTTCCTGCCTCAGCCTCCTGACTGCTGGAATTAACAGGCACGTGCCAGCAGGCCTTTCTCACTTCAAAGTGCTTCCTGTCCACGCCATCACTAGTGCCATTTGACGTATTCACATCCACTGCTTCTGACATTGTGGAACACAACCAACACTGTCTCTAAAGCAGAGGGACAAGTTCATCTTCTAGAGATCTGACACTGCAAAAGTCTGTGAAACTAGGATGAATTAGGAATAGTGATTTCATCACTTCACATGACTTAAAATTAGCACTCTGGCTGGCGGTATAGTGCAGTGGCAGATAATGTGGTTAGCATGTATGAAGCTGTCAATTCAATCCCCAGCTAAAGGGAGGAAGGAAAGAAGAGAGGAAAAGAAGGAAGGAAGAGAGGGAAGGCAGGCGGAAGGAAGGACGGAAGTGTGGATGGACTATCTGAGGGTCTATCAACTGATGAACAGATAAAACAGTAAAATGGAATGAAGGAGCTGGATGTGGTGGCACACACCCGTAATCCCAACAGTCTGAGAGGACGAGGCGGAAGAATCAGAAGCTCAAATCACAAGGAGACCTAGAACCCATTTCAAAAATTTATGAAAGGACCAGGGATGTAACTCAGTGTGAAGGCCCTGGGTTCGATTCCCAGCATGACCAAAATAAAAAGAACAAAGCACTGACATACGTCACAGCATGGATGAACCTTGAAAAAATATTAGAAGAAGCCAGATGCAAATAATCAATTATTACATGATTCAGTTTTGTTATGGCTTGTGTTTAGACGTCCCCTCAAAGACTCAAGCAATGAGGTGGGGCTTTCCTTTTCAGAGGTGGCTGAATCTAGAGTGTGTGATGCTGGGAGTAAGAATGTGTGGTTATTAAACCACATGAGTGATTGGTTTGGCACAGCCCTAATCCAGGTAGTCTGGATGGGATAAAAGGGGCAGAAAGACACTGTTAAGGTCCCTTGTTGCTTTTGCTTTCTTCCACCGCCATGAACTCTTGCCCCTCTGCCATGTGCCATCCCTTGGAGCTAGTTGATAACGGACTGAAACCTCTACAAACTGTGAACTAAATAAACCTTTCCCCCTTTAACTTTGGGTGTCAAGTATTTTGTCTCAGCAATGAGAAAAGTACCTAAGACACATTTATATGAATTATTTAGAACAGGCAAACTCATCCAGATAGAGAAAGTAGATTAGTGATTACAAGGGATCAGGAGTGGGGAAATGAGGACTAACTGCTTAACGGGTACTAGGTTTCTGATGCAGTTCTCAAATTAGACTAGTTACAGAACTCTGCAATTAAACTAAAAAGTGCTTTG